ACATGGCACAGGCTATGGGGTTTATTTCTTTGAGTGATTCATACTACATTCATACCTCTTCCTCCTTTTTTTTTCCCTTCTTAAAACTTAGAATAGTCTTCAGCTTTACTGGTGTTTATCTCCCAAAAGTAAATTCATAGCTGGTATTATAATGACACAAATAGAAAGGTTTTAATTTCCAAAACCTATTAAAAAGCTGTATCTAAAAAAGAAAAAGGTTTTGAAGTTCAAATGAAAGACAATATCTGAATAACACTAATCCCCAGGAGAACGCGTAGCACCCGCCAGACACTGTAAAGGTTTTATAAATGTTGTCTTCTGCAAAGTCGACTGCAAACATCATAAGGCCTTTGGTAAATATGCCTACCGGCCTTTTTGTTTGAGCAGAAATATTGGACTTCCTACTATTATGATTATAAAGTAGAGAAGATTATTTCAGATTTTTTTTAATAAAATATTTGATTAGTAGCCTCTCTCTTTTTCCTTGGGATCAAGTTTCAAATCACACACAGAGTTAAGTGTTTGAAAAAAGTCCTCTTTAGCAATACGAGACTGTCAAAACAATCCATTTTGAAATCATTTATGAGTAAATATATAGAAACACTGAGGCTGGGCAAGTTAAAAACAATTTGGCAGCCTGATCGACAATATCAGAATGGGCAGGCAAAATTCCGTAGTGCAGGAAAACAATATTGTTGTTTATACTGCATAATGTAAAATGTTTATCTATTTGGCAGAGGCAAAATACCACATTTTGTTTGTCTACAATTATCTAGTGTTAACTGTATCAAATTAATTTTATATGATGATTATTTCAAGTATAATTTTCACAGTGTTTACTTTTTTTTAAAGAACACAAAATATTAAAAAAACAAAATACTACAGACCAAAATAAGCAGTTTAAAGAGTTTCAGTGAATAAATATAAATAAATACATATTTTAATAAATATTTAGATAAATATACAAATAAAGATGTATGCTGTGATGTTTTATAAGAGCATCATCATTAAGACAAAAGTTCTACACTTGCATTATTTTTCTTATGCTTTATAATATACATTCAGAAAAGGGAACAATTTAAAACACTACTGTTTAGGCAATGACAAAAACCATTGTCTTACTTTTCTTTGTAATATAGATACATGGCATAGCCACCTGAGGGTAGCTCCTCCACCTCTTGTTTACTGACCCCAGATATGAATCATATACAAAAGGGGGAAAATATTCTGCTGCTGTTCATCTTTACCTTTGTTTTCATACAGAAAAATATGAAAATGGTATTTACCTTAAATGGCAAAAAATTGCAGTATGAGTTCAGAAACTTACCATCAGAGCTGGCCATGTTGATCTACAAAAGATTACCTGTTACTGTCATCACACTATCAAACCTCTGCAGTGTTCTGCATTCTTTTTTAATGTGTTAAATTAAATAATCAAATAATTAACAGAAAGTCTGTGAAGGCATGGTAACTGTAAAACATGAGATTAGTCTCCTACACAAAGTTTATAACACCATAAGTACCAAAACATAAAAAGTCCAAACCCAAATGTACTGCTTTTTTATTATTTTTACAGGGGCAATGTGCTGTAAAGACTGCAAAATGAATACAGCCCTTTGAGAAAGAGCCATTAAGAAGTTTTCTCAGGAGATGCATTTTATGCAGGAGAAACATACTGATGTGTACAATGCATTTAGTATTATCTGGCGTGTAGGTTTTAGAAGACATTCTTGAGCTAGTTTCACTCCTACCTTTCACACATGACTTTTCTGATGAAATGAAGAACATGATGAATGAATCATTTCCAAAAAGGACAGATGACTGGGAATTTTCATGGGTGTCGGTAGATCATATATGAAAGGAAGCTATGTAGGAAATATGTGCTCCTTGTTGCAATTATAAAATCTCACATCCTGGGGTAATGGTGACTGCCTATAGGCTTCTAAACAGTGGAATTAACAAAAGTCCCACAATGCTAAAACCTTGTGCTGAGTCACCTGTCACACATTACAAATTGTTTAGAAACTTATGCCAGTTCATTAATGCACTGGAGGTCTTCTGTTTGTGCTTTTTGGAGAGAGATGTTCCCTTCCTGAAGCTGAAAACGTTACTAGATACCTGGATTACATCTGTTGATTGAGATCTCTTAATGGGAGGTTTACTTTTTATTTTCATGAAATGTGAGTGGCATGATTATTTAATTTTTGTTTTCATTGTTTTCCACTGTTTGATATATAAAAGAGTGAAGTTATCTGATGTGGTCATGTATCACCTTTGGGAATGTCTTTGAAAGATTAACAAACCATACTTTTCTCATTATGATAAAGTTTTTTTATTGGAGTAAGTAAAAGGAAAACATTGCTACTTTTTGGGGACCTTCCCAGACATTATGGGAATAATGGGCTAGGCATTTGGGTTTGTAGTCCCTTTTGAACACTCAAGATGGAAAAGAAGTGATTCATAGGAAAAAACATAGAAGTAGATGGGTTTTTTGCGTTTTTTTCAGTGGTTCCCGGTGAGAGGACAAGCGGCAACAGGCACAAGCTGGAACATAAGAGGTTCCACTCAAATATGAGAAAAAACTTCTTCACAGTAAGGGAGCCCTGGAACAGGCTGCTGAGGGAGGTTGTGGGGTCCCCTTCTTTGGAGATTCTCAAGACCCGCCTGGATGCAGTCCTGAGTAACATGCTCTGCCAAGCTCTAGGCAATTCTGCTTTAGCAGGGGAGTTGGACTAGATGATCTCTATGGTCCCTTCCAACTCTAAAAAATCAGTGAAATTCAGTGAAAGGACAACCAGATCTAACCAATGGCTTTTAGAAAAAGGACATTTATCCTTCTGATACCTAAAGTGTGATCCAGATTTTGCTTACCATAGATTTTACCACAGATAGAATTGAGTAGTTGGAAGGGACCTTTCAGATCATTGAGTCCAACCACCAACCAAACACTGGTAAGAACCATCACTAAACCACATCTCCAAGGACTATGTCTACCCATCTTTTAAATACCACCAGGGATGGTGACTAAACCACTTCCCCGGGCAGCCTGTTCCAATGCTTAATAATCCCTGCAGTGCAAAAATTTCTCACACCCCTGGTGCAACTTCAGGACATTTCCTCTTGTCCTATCACCTTGGGAGATGAGACCAACCCCCATCGCTACACCCTCCTTTCAAGGAGTTGTAGAGAGTGAGAAGATCTCCCCTCAGCATGAACGATCCCTTATGATTCCCTTATGAATGATCTCACATTTGCAACATCATAACTTTAAGGAGAGAAAACTGCATTTTTCCTTCTTGGCTTCCTTCCTTCCGTTAGAACTTTAGCTCTGCCTGTCTGGTTAAAATATTTTGAGGCATTATCAGGATAAAACTGTGAATAGTAAAGAATAGCTTCAAAACAGAAAAGCATTAGTAAATCAAGTACGGTACCAATTTCTCAGTGGGCCTGAAAGCATCACAGCTCCAAAACTGAAGAGTTTATGCCAAATACCTCTTAGAGTGCCCTGAAAATGTGACTAGAAGTATAGTATATTCTCACAAAGCACATCAAAGGAAGGGAAAAATGAAACTCATTAATTGAGGGAATAAAGATTTATGTTCAAGCAGTGAGGTGATGAAAATTAATCCCACTCTGCTGAATGGAACGGAACTGTGACAACTGAAATGAATTGAAGATATACCTCAAGTGATTTCAGTGGCTGTAGGAGATTGCTTTTATATTTGGGGAAAGGAAAAATGAAAGATTCTCCCAGGAGCCAGGCACAGAAGATCTACTCCCAGTATTGTTCCTACCTTCAACCCATTGCATTCTTTTTTTGTGTGTGCAGTGAAACAAGATTCGTTTTCCCGAGTATTGAACTTCTATTTCTTTAGGGACTGGGGTTAGTTTTTGGTCTAAAATCCAAGTCCTGAACTCATCAAACCAAAGGCAAAATTCCAGGTTTGCTCATGTTCTCTTTTATAACTGCAGGATTAGAGTGACTACTTTTTCCTCTCAAAAACACTTTGAGGTGTCTTTTAACAAATAGAAATAAGAATTAACAGCCAGCATTGTAATGTAAGCTCATACCACTTGAAAGTTAACAAGACTCACATTGCACTAATTTTGCTGTTGAAAAGCAGCATGACAACTTCTTGACTCAGCAGAGACCTGACATAGCACAGACTTTTCTGCTAGTCATTCCCTCAGTACTACGCAGTTAACAGATACTGTTCATTTGTGCTCAAGCTATATCGAGTCACTGGCATTTGAATCTGCTGTTATTAAGATAAAGCAAAACAATACAAAATGTTGACATGAAAAATGCTTCAGCTGTAAAACTCATCAAGTATGTTATGTGATAAAAAGACATAAATTTTATATTAGCCTCATGTAATTTTTATTTTTTTTTTTTTAAATAAAAAACAACTTTCCAAGCACTATAGAGGAGAAAGACATTTCAGGCATACAGAAAGGAGAAAGCCCAGTGCTTACTAGTGAGCGAAGCACGTAAAATGAATTTTCCATATGGTCTTTACATACGGAAGATGTACATAAATGAAAAGACACTATAGGTACACTTTATCATGTTCTTTGTTTCTTTGTTTATTTTTATAAGAGTAGTTCATCTTCTTTTTGGTTTCTTTTCTGAAGAAATTTTACCTGAAGCAACAAAATCACCTAAGATGTTTGTTATTCATAAAATTTTACTTCATAAGAAACATAGCTGCTTAAATAATTGATACAAATATACTAATGTTTATATTTGATGTTATAATTTTACTAATGTTAATGTTTAAATTCAATGTACTTTAAAGAATGTTGCATAGACAAAGGTCCTGCCAAAATCGAGGTAAAGTGTGAGTACACGGTGTAGATGTGGTAAATAGGATTCCACAGGAGTGGCTCACTATTTTTAAAATTCATGGTTAAAGAAATAATTTCAATGAAACTCAAGATACAGTATCTAGTTACCATTATAATAGAAAAATACCAAGGCAAGGATTTTTTTAACTTACTCTTCTCTGAGGAACATCCTGTTGTTATGTCTCAGGATAGAGATCTAAAAAAAAAAAAAGAAAAAATTACATTTGGTGTTATTGGTAGTAACCGTCATTGTCAAATACCATGGTTTTATGTGTACACAGGTTTATGTTTGTCGATGGGAATAGTCAGGAAGAATTATGACTCATAAATATTGCAATACTTGATACATACCTGAAAAGAACGGAAGTGGAAATGCAATTTTGTTGTTATTTTTTCCCTCTATTTAAATGTATCAGATGTTTCTGAATTTTCTTACAATCTTATTATGAATTTCAAATCGTATCAGAGAACACTTTTAATTGCAATTTTCATAACTGAATATTTAAATTCTGTCATAAGTAAAAGTCTAAAATGACAGAGAATTCAATATTTGTACTATGGGTCATCATTTCCAAAGATATACCTTTGTAGCTTTTGAAAGAATTTTTAAGGCTTGAATCAGTTTGCAGGTTTTAATGACATTTAAAGACCAACTCAAGTGCAAACTCTATAATGCAAAGCACTTGAATGCACTGTTTGCGAGGCTCCATAAAACATTCTATTAAATATTATAAATGGTCTTCATTTTTTTTTTTAATTTATTTTTTGAAAAGTAGGACTGAAGTAATAATAATTAAATAATAATAATCATGGTGGGTTATCAACATTAACTTCAAGGTTACTACATTTGAGTCCTTGTTATTGTTGCAACAAAACTATTCATAAATAGACTTTCAATATAACATTGCTGAATTCTACCATATTTCATAATAAAGGATGAAAGATTAATCAGATTGATTTGAGAATTGGCACTTTATTCACAAATTATTTGACCACATGTAATATCTATACTACCTTTTCTAATGCAAACATGTTAAGATTTTCCTTCATTGAGAGGAAAATGTTCAAAATCTCTATTAATCAATTTTCCCCACCCCTGTTGGTACAGCTATATGTGCACCTCTAGCATAAAACCTATATACATAATGTTCACAATATTCCAAATGCTTCTATTCAGAAAAAATTAAGGTTGTTATAAGTGGGAAATTTTAAGGGTTGCAAGGTTGCAAGGTCCAAAACTAACAACAGATATTGTACCATACCATTGTATAAAGATCTTAAGTTTAACCCTGCAACAATTAGAAATGCTGAATCTTAAGTATCTGAACAGGAGAAGATTGATCGCTTCCAGGAAGGATATTTCACTTTATGAAATAAAGTTGTGCCCCAGGATGTGACTGATTTGCTCACATTCAAGAATAAATGCTTGGTGCTCTATTACATTTTTATTATCCTGGGAATGGCATCCTGAAGTTAGGCATTTGCCATGTGAAAGGAATGCTTACCAACTTTTACTTTTTTTTAACTTTTTTCACAGAGGAAGAAACTTCTCTTAAGTGATTTGATGGTATAAGTAATGAACACTTGAAACTGATGTGGGATCAAGATTTTTCAAGATTTTTCAAAGATTTCAAAGAATAAAAATTGCAATCAGAATTTACATCAGAAATAACATATGTCTGTTCATGACATGACTGACTACGTGCCTTATTACTGCTCTATACACGCAGCTATCGACATAAACAATTATTGACAATTCCAGTTCCTCTGCCAAAACAAAATCACCAAAAAACCCCAACAAAAGCAAGCAAACAAACAAACAAACCAACAAAGCAATGAGGCAAACAGTGTGCTTTTGTGGCCAGGAGGGCCAATGGAATCCTGGGCAACATAGGGAAGAGTGTGGCCAGCAGGTCAAGGGAAGTAATTCTCCCCCTCTACTCTGCACTGGTGAGGCCACAACTGGAATACTGCATCCAGTTCTGGGCTCCCCAGTTCAAGAGGGACAGGGAACGACTGGAAAGATCCCAGCGTAGGGCTACAAAGATGATTTAAGGACTGGAGCATCTCCCTTATGAGGAGAGGCTGAAAGAGCTGGGACTCTTTAGTCTGGAGAAGAGAAGGGTGAGGGGAGACCTTATTAATGCCTACAAGTATCTCAAGGGCGGGCTGAGGGAGGAGGGAACCAGACTCTTTTCAGAAGTTCCCACTGAGAGGACAAGGGGCAATGGGCACAAGTTGGAACATAAAGGGTTCCACTTGAATATGAGGATGAACTTTTTCACAGTGAGGGTGACGGAGCCCTGGAACAGGCTGCCCAGGGAGGTTGTGGAGTCCCCTTCTTTGGAGATTTGCAAGACCTACCTTGATGCCGTCCTGAGTAACATGCTCTGACAAGCTCTGGGTGGTCCTGCTTTAGCAGGGGAGTTGGACTAGATGATCTCTATGGTCCCTTCACAACTCTAAAAATTCAGTGAAATTCAGTGAAAGGACAACCAGATCTAACCAATGGCTCAGAATGCACACATTTATTTCAGTCTGTGTTCATGTTAGTTAGGCTTTGAATTCACTTACTTCACAAGCTGAATTGCTCTCCTGTGAGTTATTCAGACTTTTAAACTCTGCAAGGTTAAAGTTGTAATTAGCAGTGACCTTAATCTATACTATTACTTTCCTCCTTTTGAACTCAATGAAGTAATCTAGACACTCTAAAAACCTTCTACAGCCCACCTTTAAGAGAAGTGACTGATCTTGTCATTTGTCAGATTTGTTGAAATGTTTCAATCGGGGTTTACTGATCAATATCTATATGGAGGGCATGAAAAAGAGTACATGTATGGGAGCACCCAGCCAAACCGGTTTCAGAGCACAATAGGTGAGATGCAGGGGGTTGCCATCCGACTCAGCTTCATCTCCGCCTTGCCTTGAATATTCAGAGATAACTTGGGAGGAGCTGATAAACGGCTCAGCCCGGGGTTGTCTTGAGTTGAAACTGAAACCAAAACCAAATGGAGCCTTATCTCCCGTAACAAACAAAATGCCTTGAGTCCCAGACCACCACTATTCCCGTGATTTACATCACAAAATTAGCAACGGAGACTTAGCTATCACACCATCTCAGGCATGATCCTGCACCCCCACAGAATCAGGACATATAAACCGAAAGGTTTGGGGAGAAAGATGGGTGGGAATCCTCCAATGATACAGCTGGCCTGTAGGAGATTCGTCCCCCCCTTGTCCAGGCCGCTGTACAAGGTAACTTTCCAGGGATTGAGAGACCTTACCTGAGAGAGAGGGTAAGTGACTAAGAAACATACGTATGGTATAAGACATGCTATTAGGATTGTGATTGGTGCACTCTTTTAAGGTATTCATATCTAGCGCGCTTGCGGTTTGTGTTGTTACTTGTCGGAATCGTTTCTAGGCTGCAACAGTGTATTCCGCGAATTGCTTTTAAATTGCAATAGTGTAATTGCCATTGTACAAATAGAACCTGCAATAGTGACGTATTGGACCTGTGAGTGAAGTCCAAATAAATTGCTAATTTGAACCTCTCAGTGAAGTCCTTTTCCTGTTTCGTCACAGTACATCATATTCTGCAAGAATTCTTTAACTGAGTTTAGAAGGGGATGCATATCTTTGAAGTGAAATGAAAGACTCCTGAATTCTTTAGATTCAAAAACCCATGCACTTCTTTTAGGTTAAGAATCTGTACAGATCAGTGAAAGCACATTGGACTATTTCAAAGTGTCTAATTCATAGCATCTTTAAAACTGAATAAATTAGGTGGCAAACATTTCTTTCACATGGTAAATACCTAGCTTCAGGGTGTCATCCTCAGGATAATAAACATGCAATAGAGCACTAAGCATTTATTCTTGAATGCAGGTGAATCAGTCACATCCTGGTATGCAACTTACTGAGTTTGTTTGGAAGCTAAGAGACGTGTTCCCTCATGAAACAGTTACTCTTTTCTGCCACCCTTCCTAACCCATTCCTCACAATACCATTTTTTCAGTTGTGCTTCTTTATCATTCACAATCAGATATGTTGGACAATAGTCCTTCCAGATAACTTAGTGATTGGCTTCCATTAATAGTCCAACCTCCTCTCCTCTATGTCAATTTTCCTAGACCTGAAGCTGAATTATGTTGTACTTGACGGACTAATGTTTACAAGAATTCTAGAAATAAAGAGTTAGTGTCAAGAAGAGTGACAGGAACCAAAAAAAGAGCTACACACTGAACCTAAACAGAGATCAGAGATGCGTTTTGAGCTTTTACTGATCTTTAAGAAGACAGACAGATTTCTTGACAGCAACTAAGTGACCTGTGTGATATTCAGTCAGTGTGAATTTATTCCTTCTTACCATATTCACATTAATATAAATTGAAAACAAAGTTACTGAAGTTGATACATTACAATGATGAAAGTAAGCACAGAAATTACAAGTTTTCACATGGCTTATTCACTCATAAAAGTCCGAAGGATATTTCAATACAATACATATTTTCATAAAGAAATAAAAATTTGCCTGAACATAACCCCTACTAATGGGGATAAATAGCTTAACGTTTTAAAATGTTTTCAAATGATTTACCTCTGATTGATAAATTTCAACCTCACTGGCTTGACTTTTGGAAGCTTTGTGAATAAAGGATGAGGTGGGTTGTCCATCCACCTCACTCTTGAACAGAAGACAGTCTTCCTACCCACATCCTCAGTTCAAGCAGTAAATTGTTCCTACTTATGCTTTCATGGTGTGTGGAATCAGAAAAAAAGGATATAGCAGTTTTGTTCTTCAAAGAACTTTCAGTATTTGGATGATGAGTATATTGTAGTAAGAAAAGTATTTTCTTTGAATAGTGGATTTATCATGTTCCAAATACCAAGGCCTGTTAGTTATTCATCGTATGTCCATGATGTATATCATGTAGAAAAGGAAAAAGCTATTCTGGACGGTATATTGTTGTCCCCTGGCATAGTTCTGTCTGGGTTTTCTTATGCCTTTTTTTGATTATGCTATTAAATTTGCACAAAGTCTAAGATATTTGAAAAGTATTTCAGTACCTTAAAGACAGATGTAGATTTGCCAAAAACACTTAATCATCTAACTCTCATCAATGTGATTTCTAGAAGCACCTGTGTAGGTTAGGTGTTCCGGTGCTTTGCCAAGCATGCCAATTCATTTGAAAA